TTCCACAGCTGAAAAAATAAACCTTATCTCTTAGAGTGACTGAAAATAAGTTCCTTTACAAAGGCATCCTAAAATTTGTATACGTTTATTCATAAAGCAAACAATACTATGCAACTGGTTGAATGCCCTACATTTAAAATGCAACATTAAATTTATACTCCACATTATAAGGTTACATTATATTAGAGCTGAAATATAACTTAATGATTAGCCCAAGAATAATAAAAAACAACCTGAAAATATTGATTTGTTCATGTTCTTCTCTAACTTAATTGGCAAAAATCTTATTTATGTTAGGAATTATTTTCCAATAAGCACTATAATTTACCTGCCAATATTATTTCTCAATATAGGCACGCACATATAAATATATATCCACATTTTGAAATAATTTTATTTCAATGTAAGTGGATTAGAGATTGAGGTATGTAGATTACCTTAATGTGAAATATCTATAAAAATGGATATGAAAATTATTTTTTTAAAAGACACTGTGAAAGTATCAAAAGCAAAGGCTTTTGATTGTTTCATAATTCAAAAACTTGGTCTGACAGCCTGCTAACATGCGCACAACAGCACTTCACATTTGTATGCGACTAATTGCAGTTCAGAATATTTCATAAATGAGCAATGGGTTGTGATTAAACCTTACTGTGAACCACACATTTTTGCATAAGAAAGGGAATTATTAAAAATAGAAGCAGAATATTCATCCAGTTTCCATTCAGAATTTAGCAAGGGAAAGAAATCCTTAATGGGTCACATTATAACCTCTATTACTGCACAGACCTCTCCCTTCAATGGGGAATTCCTGAACAGATGATGAACAATACAATATCCATTGCTGCAGACCTAGAAACAGACCAAATTAATTGAGAAAAAAAATAGTCACTTAAACCTTCCGAGGAAGCATTATCAGTAGTCATGAGAAAAATTATTTTCAAAATGAAATGATTTCTAGGAAACAATGATCTCAGTGAAAACTGGAACTTTTATGGAGAGGACTAATAATGTGCAAGATAGAACAAGAGTGTAGGTCCTCTTACCATGTTACTTCCCTTAAAACAAGGTTAAATCAAAACTAGGCTACTAATCATTTAGTTGATAAATTGCAAACATCCTGGTTAAATGTTTTTACTTACAATAATGTAAAATACTAGACTAACATAATTATATCTCTCTACCTTACTCTCTCGGGAACTATTTTTGCAGTAATCTAAGTGGCTATTAAAATTACAAGATAAATTATGAATGCCAATTAGAAACCCCTTGACTTTTGAGAATTTGATACTAAATTAATGGGAAAACAAAAGCAATGAAGAATTCCAGACATGACAGACTAAGTGTTACCAAGTCTTGCCTTCTTTCTGTAAATACCTATGTAACTGAACAAAATATATAGGGCAACTATTTTTAGGCACTGGAAAGTTGGCATCTTAACGTGTACTCTCAGATAATTCTGGTATACCTTAGCATCTTATAAGGACTTTTAATCAGCTATTTATAAATGTTTAAGGACTTAAAGGAAAACATCATCTCAATGACTGAAAAAATGGGAAAGTTCAGCAGAGAAATGAAAATTACAATAAAGAACTATATGGAAATTCTAAAACTAAGAAATGTACAATAGCATCAATTTCACTGGGTGGGCTTAAAAGAAAATTTTAGATAGAAAATAAGGATCACTAACTAGTTTTAAATCTGGCCAGGGAATGCAAATGTCATTCTCACCTTCAACAGTACCCGTTCTGGGAAGTCAGATGCATAGATTGTGGGAGTGTCTCCTGTTAATGTTAGAATTCTTATAGCTCTCTGCTTTCATCCTTTTATACTTGGTAGTATCCAAGGAAAGAGCCAGGTTTGGTGGGGTCTGAAGCTTAATCTCACTTGGGGACCTTTTAAATAACATAGTACTAAATCTTGAATACTGGGCCTTAGACAGCACCTGTGCAAACAAGAGTCCCTAAAGCCTACGCTTCGTTAGCTTCCTGGTAAAATAGTCTTCTGGAAGTATATCGCTCTAGCTAAATTTCTTTACCTATTACTTCTAAATGTTATAACTTTACTTTTTAAATGGCATCACCTCTAACTAATCACAAGAATACAATGTACACAGCACTTCTCCTTATAAGGAAAACTACAAAACACCTACCATCACACCACCCCAAACACCACATTTATCTTCTCCATGCCTAATATTTTTTTTTAAAAAAAGTGGAGATTTAGCATGAGGCATATTTTCTCTTAAAGTATAGAATATTAACAGTCTTCTTAGAGGGGCAAAAATTTTGTTTAAATCTAATCATGCAATCCATAAGAGCCTACTATTAGGAAGGCACTATGATGATCCCTAGAAGGAAAAAGTATGAATGAATATACAAAAAAATCCAAATAAATTATGTAGGCAGGACTAATTCCCACTCCTTAAGGGCGGGCTGTGCATAGTGACTCCCTTTCAAGGACTGGGAGCATGGAAAGGGGGGGGGAAGTAAGTCTGTAGTTGCAAACACTCTTTCAGCCAGGTCAGCACGGACAGTGACCCATGATGTCGCTAATATGTACCCTTGAGATGATGTGCTGAAAATGACACTATACTCCTTTGACCTTCCTCCCCAAACCCATCATCCCAGTCTCATCATGAGAAAAATGTCAAATTCCCATAGAGGGGCTTCCTACAATATACCTGGTCATTACTCCCTCTAGTATCTTATAAATTTCTCTGTAAATCTAAAACTGTTCTTTAATAAGTTGGTTCAGTTGAGAGAATAAAATCAGGAAAAAAATCACAATATGGCGCCATAAATCTAGAATACAGGTTTGAACAGAGGACTGTGGGAATTGCATCAGGATTTTAAAATAAAGTATAATCTTTTCTACTTAAAATATTGGAATCTCCAGCAGCACCCAGCAAGTACCTTGCTGAAAGTCAGCAAACATTTCGGAGAATGCTGAGGAAGACAGCACCCTTTTGCAAGAATGACCTAGATGTGGTAGACATAAACAGAGGTAAGTGAAGACAAACTGCTCCCTGTACCACCTTCCTAAATGGTGACGGCAAGTTTCAGTTCAAATTCTGTCATACGCACCTTTATTACATAAAAATTGAGTGAGATCTCAGCAATTTGTCCTTTTTTGTGCTTCAACTATACTTCACATGAAAGTATTTTTGAGAAACCAGAGGGGAAATTGTTTTTCTTTCCATCAGTAGTAGGCAAACAGAATCATCCTCTCTCTCTCTCTCTCTCTCTCTCTCTCTCTCTCTCTCTCTCTCTCACACACACACACACACACACACACACACACACACACACACACACAGGACTGGCCACTTGACCATTTCAGAAAAGACTCCATTTTTGGAAAGTACAGGGTGAAAGGTCACTAGATGTTTATATCTGCTTATTCCGTGTTTATAAGCGAATGAGGAGTGTCTTCAAAATAGTTTAGTCAACACCAGATTTCACCACTGGAACCCATTACTGAGATTTCTCAGGCTGAGGAACACAACCCCCGGTGCAGACAGAAGGCCAAACCAGTTTAACACCCAGCTGCAACAGCCTCAGGAGCCCCATCTTTTCTCTTTAAAGCTGGCTGACCACCCAGGAGTGTGAATTCCTGATCAGATCAAAGTGAGGGTTAAATCTAACCATCGCATGTCTTCATTCTACAGTGACTGTTTAAGTCTTTTAAATTAAATGACAGACACTGTACCGCCATGGTGTCCTATGCTATTCTCCAAGCTATCCTCGTTTGAATCCGAACCCTGCCACCAACTGGGAGGCCTCCCTTACTTCTCTTGATCCGGGTTCCTTCCTCTGAAAACCAGGGCACTGGGTTAGGTCTCTCTGGTTCTTTCCATCCATATACTTTACGAACCTGCCGTGTTCTAGCTGAAGTAGAAGGAAACATAAATGTACGCGTAGAGACACTAGCTTTCACTCTTTGGAGGGCCAGATTACACACACCATAAACATTAGCCTCTTTGGGGGATCAAATGTTAGCATCAGACCAGTGCGTTTAGGGTTACACTTTCAGTGTTCTATGCTTTATAAAGGATTCTATAGGTATTAGTGATGCTAGTATAGAGTAAGTTATAGCGTGTGTGTGTTTAAGTCACAAAATAAAAATAGTAACCACTGAAGGGGCCAACTCGTCGATTCTCAGCTGTACTCTGGGCCTCCCCTTCTCAAGGGGTTGGTTTCATAGCGGATGGTGCTCTCCTTTCAGCTTTCAGACGCGACAAACCTAATTCATGTGTCCAGCAGCGGTCACCATGCTTTCCCATTTGGTCCTTTATAAAATCCCAAACGTAGCCTTTTTCTTTCCAAATTCCCTTGAGTATTCTTTAAGCTCCACGCATAGGTGGGTACCCTCCAGGCACCGACCCACAAAGCTCCCTTCCCTCAAAAAACAAGGCGCGGAGCTGTGTTCCCCCCCCTCGCGCTGCGCGGCGCGCACCTGAGCGGCCAGCCTCCCCGAGCCAGGCGGGCGCCACGGCGGCCGGCCTCCTCCCGCACGTCCACGGTCACGGCCGCCGGCTGCCTGGGAGCCCGGCAGGAGGAGCGCCCGCCGCCTGGCCATCACCTGGCGCCTCGTGTGGGCGTGTGGCGCCTCAGCAACCCCAAGTCTTCGGCGCCCCGTCCTTCCCCTCGGAGGAATCGCTGGTGCCGCCCCGCGCTCTCCTCCTCTCCAGCCCTCCCGCCCCGGTGCCTCCTTCGGGGCTTCGGCCCCGCGCCCAGGTGTTCCCAACCCCGGCCCCCGCCTACCCGGCCTGCGGGTCTCCAGCGCCGGGGCCCGCGCTCCCGCCCCGGGTCCGGCCTCGCTTCCCACCCGGCCCCGCCCCGCCCAGCCTCCGCCGCGCCGGGGCTCTCTCCCCGCCCGGCCTCTCCGTCTCCCTCCCACCTCCGCCCCGCACCCCCCTCCCCAAGAGTTGCTATTTTTAGCGAATCCTCCGCGCGCCGCCACCGGCTCAGCTCGCAGCTCACAGTTCGCAGCCGCGCGCTGCCGCCCTCCGAGCTGCAAGCCCGGCGCGGCGTCCCCGGCCGCGGCGCGTCCCGCACTCGGCGCAGCGCGCACGGACCCGGCCCCCGCTCCCGCCGCGCTCGCCCCCGACTCCTCCTCCGGCGCCCGGCGCGGCCGCCAAGTCCCCGCCGGCGGAGCAGGGACCGTCCCCGAGTCAACTTTCAGTCCCCCCTCGGCGTCTGCCTTGGCCATTCTCTTCTGGAAAGATGGCTGTTTGGAGACGGGGGAGAAGTTAGGGGGTCGCCGCGCGGGGCGAAGGAGGGCGCGACCGCCTCGGCAGGAGCGGGCGGAGGTGAGTGGCACCGCAGCCCGGCCCCGGGCTCGCGCTCCGGGGAAGCCCTGAGAAGTGGGGGCCGAGCGTCCTCTGGATGCGCCGCTGCGTTCCCAGCCCGGGTTCCCCAGGTTCGCAGCATCCCGGGCCGGACCCCGCCGCCGCCTGCCTGGTATCTGGCAGCCCAGAGATTGGGGGGTTCCGGGGAACCCTTGATCAGAAGTTCCGTGCCAGGTGCTCTTTGGGTGTAGACCCTGACATTTGCGAGGCAAGCCTAGGCGAGGGGTCAGTTACGTGAGCCCCCCAACCCCACCTGGCCCCCAACCCCAGCCCCCAGTGTATGCTGGAGCGAGTTATGGATGGAAAGTTGTACTGCCAACGTGTTGCTTGAGGGGCGCAACACTTAGTGGGGGTCGGGGGGCCCCTGATGTTTCGTGGGTGACTTCAGTTCCAAGTCTCTCCATCAGAATGCTGGGTTTTCAGAAAAGTTGCGGAGCCCGGGGGATGGGAGGTCCAGCCGTGCCTCGGCTAGTGGAAGGAGAGTGATGGACCGTAAGCTTATTAATGCCAACGGGCGAATCACACGCCACCCGAGACCGCGGCGGCGGGGACGCGAGGGAGGAGAGGACGGGGGCGTTCCCCGAGCGCCCAGCGGGCTGCGGTCCTTGGGCTGTGAAGCCTCCGCCCGCGGGTGCGCGGGGAGAGGCGCTGGTGTCAGAGGCCTGGGCGTCCTCGGTGGGACCCGCGGGACCCAGCTGCTCTCCAGGTCCCAGGCGCGGCGGCGGCCGAAGAGGTGGCCTGCGGCGGGAGCTGGGGACGCGGCTCCTGGGCTATGGAATTGTGGATTCTCTAGTGAGTCTGCTACGCTCTCATTTCTGGAAGATGGTCGCGTTTGTTTTCCCTGCCGGGGAGGCGCGTGCAATCTCCTAAAATGAACTTTTAGGTTAGGTAACGATAACATTGGAAATCGGTGAGACATCTACATATATCCCACTATACGTGTATGTTGTGTGTGTTGTGTGTGTGTTGTGTGTGTGTGTGTGTGTGTGTGTGTGTGTGTACAGAATGTGGGAGTGGCATAAGAAAGGCTTGAAAAGTTTAACTTCAACTAGAAAAGAAAGTGAAGAGTTAATTTCTTTTTTTTTCTCCCCAAAGGGTATAACAATGCTTATACAAAATACTCTTGGCGTGCTGAGAATTCTCATAAAGGGTAAGATTTAGGAATTACAGGTATTTGGAGTACAATCAATGTTTTCAAATCGTGTAAGCGTTATTGAAATCCAGAAAAAGGGAGTCTGTATACAGAGAAGCAATATTAAAGAAAAGCCATTGAAATTACTTGGAAAGAAAATCATTTGACATTTGAAAAGGTCTGGATGTTATTTTCTGATGCTTTAGAAATCTTTTTAATCCTGTAATTAATAACAGCACAGAATAAGTTGCAGTTAGTAAATGAGGACAATTAAAATACCATGTTTGGAAAGGATATCTTTTGAACTACTCTCTGGTACGTTGCGTGTTTAAGGAAATTATTGTGACTGAAAATTTGTTGTTTAATATATTTGCTTTTTACCACAGATAATTAGTTCTTTTCCTTATAAACCCCTGTTCCAGTTTGGACCAATTTAATTACCCAAACACCAAGTCACTGATGTGCCTTCTGGAAAGCATTTGCATTTAAAATGCTTAATAAGGCTATTGCATTTCCAAAAGGACAAATAATTTAGTTGTAAAACTTTCTTGTGATTTATTTTCATCCATTTTGTTTGAATGAGACAAACCTGAGGGAGAGAAGCAGTTTCTTGGAGTAAGTTGTTTTCTGTGTGGGGGAAGAGCGACTGTTTGCATGTGTCTCTGTCACAAACAGGTGTATGTAGTGTGGACATCCTGAGTCTGGGCTTTGGTGTCAGGCTGCAGCTGGAGGGAGAGATGCGATCACCTGCACTACAGAATGGACATTGTTAGATGCATGTACGATTGTGCAGAAGGAAGCTAAGAGTTTTAAGTGAAGTACCAGTTTATGATTAGGAGGGAAGGTTTTTTTTTTTTTTTTTTTTAAAAAAACTTCTGTCTTCCTGTTTCTTTCCCTCTGCAGTTGAGCCAATGGACCAGCCTTTATTATAAAGTGAGACTGGACACTCTTTGGCTAGAATGTTTGGCATATTGCCATCTTCTGTAAATATAATGATGGCCTTCTGAAATGAAAAAGATAATTTTATACATTTGCACAGACTTTTATGATCAAGTGTTTTGTGAGCATTATTATGGCCTATTATGCTCCCCCTTCCCATCCCCCCACACATTTGGGGTATATTTGGACACAGGGTGTCCCCAAAATGTAAGCATACAGTTTGAATAATTATAAAGGCAGAGTTTATTATTTTTTAATTTTTATTTTTTTATCATATATTTCTTTATTGATTTCAGAGAGGAAGGGAGGAGAGAGAGAAACATCAATGATGAGAAAGAATGATTGATTGGCTGCCTCCTGCACACCCCCTACTGGGGATCCAGCCCACAACTCAGGCATGTGCCCTTGGCCGGAATCAAACCTGGGACCCTTCAGTCCGCAGGCTGATGCTCTATCCACTGAGCCAAGCTGGCTAGGGCAAGGCAGTGTTTATTAAAATACATTTCATTTTCAAAATTGAGCTATTAGCTGTTAAAGTATGTATATATTTTGGGGGGATATATACTGTATTTGGGTTTAAGGGGTTGTTTTTTTTTAATGATTTGAGAGAGAAATATTGATGTGGCAGAGAAACATCGATCAGTTGCCTCCAGCATGTGTCCTGACTGGAGATCAAACTCCCAACCTAAGTATGTGCCCTGATGTGGGTATGTGACCTGAATGGGAATTGAACCCACAACCTTTTTGGTGTATGGACGATGCTCCAACCAACTAAGCCAGGGATAGGATTAAGGAGTTTTAAATCATAAAGTCAACCTACCATATAACCTGTTTAATTAACTAGTTTAGATGATACACACAACTCACAATTGTATTAATACATCTGCATCTAAGGACTTTTATGGTTATAGTGCTGTCATTTCTTTTTATTAGAATTACCTCTATTTTGAATTTGTTTAAATATTACAACATATCATGCTGTAATTTACACCCGTTCAGTGGGGAAGGTGTAGGTTTTTCTTAAATAGAGATATGGAGAAATAGCTAACAAGGAGAGTCATTTGAGAAACATATGGACATCATAAAATCCTTCTGCATGTAGCATCTGTACCTTCTCATTAGTGAAATATGGTAGCTATGGACATTTTTTGATATTACATCCAAATGTGGCTTTTAATTTTTGCTTCAATGGATTTGTTTGTTTTAAAATGTAAGTTATATTAATGTTTAAGTTGGCAGGGGCTTTTATTGTTTGAAACCTTTCCCTTTCAATAAGGATATCATACTGAATTTTTATTGTACACATCCTCTGATACATACAGTTATTTCCTAGCTTATTACTGTAACTCCCACCTTTCATTTGAGAAACAGATAGGAAGACATATTGTTCTCATTTTCGGAAGGAGGCCGCACAGTACATCCAAGGTCACACACTAGAGAACCAGTGTGCAGCCGAGGATAACATCTATAGTTCCTGTATGTATTCACAACAGCAAACTGCTCTAGTGGCTATATTATGACATCTTCATAAATTTACACATTTCTAGATTTTTAATCTACTTTTTTTTGTTAATCTTTACCTGAGGATATTTTTCCATTGACTTTTAGAGATAGTCGAAGGGAGGGGGAGAGACAGAGAGAGAAATATCAATTTGAGAGAGACACATTGATTGGTTGCCTCCTGCAAGCCCCCACCAGGGCCCTGGGCCAGGGAGGAGCCTGCAACCAAGGTACATACCCTTGACTAGAATTGAACCTGGATCCCTTTGTTCCACAGGCCGCTGCTTTATCCACTGAGCTAAACCAGCTAGGGTCATTTCTAGATTTTTAAAGTGCTTAACTTTGTAGATTTGCACATCAGCTTTTATATCAGTAAATATAGTCATAGGGAATAAGCCCTTAGTGTTGCCTGCTGATGAAGGAGAGTGTGACTCCTATAAGTAGTGCTAAAACAAACATACACACCTCTGCAGGGTATCCATTCTTTCACATCTCTCTGCCTACACTGGCCCCACCTTATCAATTGCATACTGCCCTTTTATTGGCCAAAATGGATTTGAAGTTTATTAGCACAATTGTCAAGTTTGAGGATCATCAGGCTCACTGGTGAGAGAGCTCAGAACATGATTTTTAAGAAGAAAGAGTATTGACAAAGGACAGTAATGGACCATCCACTCTAGAGCAAGCCAGTAAGGATTAGGGACCCTATTGTTTTGGGTGTCAGGACACCCACCTTCTCTAATTTGCTCTGCTTCTTTGGCCGAACTTATGGTTCATGATTATCTGGTCATTTGTTGGCCATGTAGACCTGGTATTTAGATAAATCAGAGTGAAAAAAAAGAAAAAGGAGAACAATTTGTTCTTTTCTGGAGAAGATATTCTTATGACTTTTTCTTCATCCTCCCAAATTCCTTCTCCTTCACTTCCCTCCAGAATCTTTCAGGGCAATTGCCCACATGATTTGAAACAACCAAGGTAATAGTTTTCTGAGATTGTATAGTTAGATTCAAAAGTGGAATATATTATCCAGGATACAGAAGAAAGCATTGTAATTTCATAGACATATATATTCTTATGCAAGCCCATATGTATTTGATGAAAATACTTTCAGCATTTTTGAATAAGCAGACAATACAAGGAGCTTTCTATTATATTTTTTGTACTGTTATTTTTCATAGGAGTGTATCCAAATCATTTTAAATATGAAATACTGAAAAAAGTGACGATTCAAGTGTGGTTTCCTATTTACTATGATTAATTCTGTTTAGAGCCCCAAGGAGAGGAAAACTCCCATTCTGTATATTCTTTGCTGTACCAGAGTATAGCATGATGCTAGTAAGGTTGACAAGGGTTAAGGTTGCTAGAAATGGTACTTTCTTCCTACTTCTGT